TGGGAAACCACACCCCCCTTAAAAAAAAACCCTCCAAAAAAAAAAAAAAAAAAAGTACACAATGAAAAAGCAGCCAAAAACCCTATACCCAGGACCACAGTTAGCATAATGACTATGGCTATGTCACTGGACTCCCATGTAGTCGATCGCGGTTTGAGTCCCAGACCCAGTGGCTTAAAATACTCATGCTGGGTGTGTGTGCGTGGGTGCTCACGCTCCATCCAGAGAGAATGGAGGAGAAGGGATTGCGGCGTGGCCATCCCCCCTGGGGAGTGATTTCTTGCTTTCTGTCTCTGTCTCTGTCTGGCGAGCATATGTGCCCTGTAGCAAAAATGTCTCAAAAAAAAACCCTATGCCCATTATAACAAGCACTTTATATTTAAGAGAATTAAGAAAATTAGAGCCCTCCCCCTTTTAAAAAATAAATTCAAGAAAAAGAATGAGCAGAAATACGAGTGGATCCCAGCATTAAAATGTGTTATTTAACCTACACGTCCATGGTAAGAGAGGGATAATGTGCTAATAAGCCTGTTTACACTCAAAGTGGAGAAAATGGGGAAGTGAGATGGGTCTTATTTATATTCATAGTTGACAGGACAATTTCCAGCATTATAATGTAGGTTGAGGAAGTGATAAAATGATTCTGATAATTAGGTTTTTCTACAATGTAGATTTCTCATTGTGCTGTAAATATTTAAAGTAATTTGACATGAGTAATACGAAATATTTTAAATCAGCCTTTAGTAATGAAACTCAGTGAAATTCTTGCACTTCAGGTGTTTCCACTAATTTAGTTTTTTTTTTTTTTAATTTATTAAAAAAGAGAGAAGCACCTCCAACAGGATCTTCATTCCACAGTCCACCCCTAGCCTGAGCCAGCCAGGACTGTGGGCACGTGTGCACACTCCTAGCGTGTACAGGGAGACCTCAGAACACAAGCCACAGAACTTGCCGTGTGCCTTCAGTATTGCAGAGCATTGCATTACCACAGCACCACCTGGCTTAATATTGTTTAATTCTTAACTTAGTAAAAGGAATTTCTGTTCTCTCCCGTCATTTACTTGTGTGTTGCTGAGTACACACTGATGCTGCCAGGTGTGGTATTGACAACTCTTATTTCAAACTAGATTTTCAATGATGAAGTGATTTTCTTTTTTCTTTTCTTTTTTTTTTAATATTGCCACAGGGCTCATATGCCCGCAGGAGAGACAGACAGATGCAATTGAGAAAGCTCCCCCTATGGGGAGTGGACACACTATATACAGTTCCTTTCCCTCTCTTCTTAGGATTTAAGGCCCACATACACATGCACCTGGTGTGTTTTTCAAGCTGCTAGATCCAGGACTCAAGCCATGCAGTCAGCCATGCGGGATCCAGCTATATTAGCAAACAGCTGGCCCAGGATTTTCTGGCATTATGAATAACCCTGCATAAATTTTGAACACAGATGTGCAGACTTTTCTCAATTTTTGATGGAATAATAGCATTCCTGAAAAATTCATTGACATTCATTAACATTATACAGAACACCTTGTGTTGATGTATAAATGGAGTTGGTTAGGTCCTATGCTCACATTGTCGTAATAGCATTTCTCATCTGTACAGTGTTTCATGAAAACACATTACAAAATCATGTGAGATATGGGACTTTTGTCGTTACATGTCATTGCAGAGCCTATAGCATTTCTGAATTCCATCTCAATAAATGCCAGTAACTCTCCCTCTGCTCTTTATTGTAACAGCCCATAATGTCCTCCACACTTTCTGAAATGCCTCCTTGAAGGCAGTACCATCCTCTTTGAGAGTCTTAAATGTCTCCATTTGCTCTCTCTCTGCTCCCACCCAACCCCAACCCACAGCCACCTCTTACTGGTCCTCTAGGACTGTAAACTTTTTCAGAAATACTTAACTAAGCCCCTAATTTGGGGTTATTCATCTCTTGTGTGCCCCCATGTCCCTGAACACACTGTACTATGGTTGCTAGTAAGTCTTTTGTCCCCCCAGTGAGACCCTAAATTCAGTGAAGGCAAGGAATGCCTATGTTGGGCACCTTGTCATCTCCAGCGCCTGGCAAGGGTTCAGGCTCAAACCATCCTTAGCACTTAATAAGTAGTTGAATAAATGAAAGAGAAAAAATGGCAGAGAGAAAATAAACCAATGAAGTGATTTATAAATAAGACGGAAATCATTTGTAGTGGTAAGTGAAAGAAAATGTAAGACTGCTCACATGTAGCTATGTGCATTTTTGTTAACTGGCAACATGTGCCAAGACTGAAGGCTGATTGGATGACATGCCCAAACTACGATTTGACTTCTAAGTCCTTTGACTGCACACCACTGTTGTCATCCCCCTTACATCCTTACACCCCTGCCCCTTCTTGAAGAGCCAAGAATTCTAAGAGATGTGTAACTGCCAACAGTGGGAGAAGATAGAAAAGAAAGTGTTTATTGAAGGAAGGAGTTTGCTGCTTCTGGTTTCTAGATATTCATTCTTTCTGCTACAGAGGCCTACAGTTTACATGGAAGTAACATGGTGACCTGGTCACCTTCCCTGCTGGGGGACCTAGCAGGGAATATCTATATAACCTATCAAAGTGTGAAGTGTGACATAATTTCTTTTCTTTTTTTTTGGAGAGGTTTTTGCTATAGGGTGCGAGCACTCAACAGAGAGAGACAGAAAGACAGAAAGCAAGAATCACCCCCCGGGGGGGATGGCCACACCGCAATCCCTTCTCCTCCTTTCTCCTCTCAGAATCTTGGGCACGCACGTACATGCACCTGGCGTGAGTTTTAAGCCATCGGGTCCGGGATGCGAACCACGGTCGACCACATGGGAGTTCAACGACACAGCCTAACTGCTGGTCCCATGATATTTTTTAAGAGTTTTTTTTGCTTGTTTGTTTTTGTTTTGTTTTTGTTTGTTTGTTTGTTTGTTTGTTTGCTAGAGGGCATGTGTGCTCGCCAGAGAGACAGAAAGCGAGGAATCACCCCAGGGAAGATGGCCACACTGTGATCCCTTCATTTCCATTCTCCCTTTAGGATTTGCGGCAAACATGTAGGCATGTCCAGTGTGAGTTTTAAACCTTTGAATCTGGGACTCGAACCACAGTCGGCCATGTAGGAGTCTGGTGACATAGCCATTATGCCATCTGCTGGTCCCAGCACGATGTAATTTCTGATCATGTTTAAGTCTCATTTTTTAGATGCATATGCACGCTCTTTAAAAAGCTCATGAAAAGACTTTTATGAAAAAACTATGCTTGGATTTAAAAATCTTTTGTGCCAAACTAAATTCATACTTTAATTCCATTTTTCCATAGGCTTTTAAATTTTGAGGTCACCAACCATAATTACCTCCTTTTTATATTAAGCTATTAAAATATCTTAATATTTTAAAGTAGATAATTTCTACTTCCAAGTCTTTAAGCAAATACAGTCAAATATCATTGCCTTGGGACCAGCAGTTAGCGTAATGGCTATGTCGCTGAACTCCCATGTAGTCGACCGCAGTTCATGTCCTGGACCTGGTGGCTTAAACTCACGCCAGGCGCATGTGCGCGCGTGCTCAAGATTTCGAGAGGAGAATGGAGGAGAAGGGATTGCAGTGTAGCCATCCCCCCCGAGGGATGATTTCTCGCTTTCTATCTGTCTCTCTCTGTCTTTCTAGTGAGCGCATGAGCCCTATAGCAAAAGAAACTCTCAAAAAAAGAAAAAAAAAAAAATTGCCTCTTACTGATCAAATTACAAATTTTGGGGAGATGAAGTGTTCAAATGGTAAGAATTAGAGGATTGATTAAATATTGTTCGGTTTTTGTCTTTTTCTTTTTTAAAGCTTAAATTTGAATTCAATACCTTATATTAACATTTACCAAATCACAGTTGTTTTTGATGAGCTGAGGTAGGTTTCATTTTTTTCGTTTTTGAAATATAATTATCTGGAAATATACATATACTTACTTGAAGATCTTTTTCTAAAAAAAAAAAGCAACCTTATAAGTAAGATAAATAGGCTTATAAGAAATTCTTTTCTTTCTTTTTTTCTTTTTTGAGAGGTTTTTGCTCTCAAATTATTTTCTTGAAATGCATCCTATGTATATTTTACATAGTACTCATGTAGGAATTTTTACCCATACGTGTGAACAACAAAAGAAGGCATAGGAAAAAGAACAAAAAGAATTATACTCTTTTTTCCCCTAAGTTTTTGTCGTAGGGTACATGCACTCACCGAAGAGAGAGAGTAAAAGGGAAAGTGAGAAATCACCCCCCAGAGGGAATGGCCACGTCACAGTCCCTTCTGCATTCTGCTAGGGTTTTGGGCCTGGGATTTTGGTTACCTGTGATGGCAGTCACAGTCCCTTCTGCATTCTGCTAGGGTTTGGGGCCTAGGATTTTGGTTACCCATGATGGCATGATTTTCAAGCAGCCAGGTCCAGGACTCAAACTGCAATTGTCCATGTGGATGTCCGGCGCCTTAACCACCATGCCACCTTTTGGCCCCAATGTGGTTGTTCTTTTTAATTGCTTTTTATTCTTTGTTCTTCCCAATTTTCTCCTTGGTTTTAGCTGATCATTTACCTCAAACTAAACCAGAATTTTAGTAATTTCTGATTTTCTTGTGTCTTTATGAGTGAGCCAATCAATCTTCACCTTTAGAACTACTACACTACGTAGGTAAATGAGGACCTGATTTTCTCTGTTCTTGTTACTGCTTGACTTCATTAGTACTAATCTTAGTGACTGTGTCAGTTTTTTTTAACCTAAGTTTCCTTCTGTGTTTTGTTTTGTTTTTTTTACATAACAGGTGAGAGGGGCAACTATGCTTAAATTAAAACCCAGCTTTAAATAATATAGGCAATGAAATACCACATATCAATCTCAACATAGTCTAAATCTGAGCAAAGATTAAGTTAATATTGTCTCTGTAATAATGTTTCTGATCTTGAAATAGGATATTTCATCATCTGCGACCACATGCTTTCTGACAGTGGGTGCTGCTCTAGTATTTGTTTACATAAGTTTTTTTCAGAGAATTTGTCTGGAAAGAATAACTTGATATACAGTTAGATTTTATAAATTATAACCAACAAGTTCCTTCCTCTTCTTAAAGCCTATACGAGACCTACACGGCTTTAAATGGTATATGCTGGTGAGAACAGAGTAAAACTAAAAGTCATTTTTAAGACTTAATTTATATATTTTATAAATATAATGTGGAATATTTTCTATAATACTGCTCAACTATGCCATGCATTGTTTTAAACAGTGATTAGTAACTACATAGTGTTAAAAAAAATACTAATTTAGAATTATTTAGGGACAGCGAAGTCTGAATTACATGAGCATCAAAAGAGCTGCAACTTAAGAAAAAATACAATATAGTTGTCTAGACGCTACCCTATAACATTACTAAGAAGTTATTAAGGGAGAAAATGATAAGTCATATGTTATTCACAAATCATTTTTATGAAAATATATATTCATTACTCAAATAAGTTTAACCATTATATTAAGGGAACAGCATTTATTAATATTCTGCTCTTGTTATGCGAGTCCTTTACTGTGTAACATCATCCTATTAGTATTCTGATAGGAGTGAGTTAGTAAAAATTTTACTGAATGTAGGCATACCCATCAGACAAAATATTTATGGATATTTTTCCTCTTTGTATGCCGTTCATTTAATGATCAGAAATACTTGTCAAAGTCCTAAAAATGACTTTTAGTTTTACTCTGTTCTCATCAGCATATACCATTTAAAGCTGTGTAGGTCTCGTATAGGCTTTAAGAAGAGGAAGGGGCTTATTGGTCATTGGTCTCTGACGGGTCTGTCACTGTGCACAGTGTTCAGGAACTTGCCTAGAAGGCAGACCAGCTCTGTGATCTTTGTAGGTATGATCAATTTTCCCAGAGAGCCAGGGGCCCAGCTCGGCCATGCCTATGGACATAGACGGTGTCTTTACCTGCCCCCTCCTTTCCTTTTTATTTATTTTAAAACATTTGTTTGGTGTGTGTGGACATATTTCATTTAGTTACAGAAAGGGAACTGAGATTTATAATAATAGAGAATCATTCCTTGTCTACTTTATATTTATATTTTAAACACATAAAACCTCCACTGACTTCTGTTATTGCCTTTTTTGTTTTTCTCTTTCTCTTTCTGCATAAGCACTCCTATCTGGACAGGGAAACCTCCCTTCTTCTGAGAAACATTGCAGGAAAGCCTTCTCATTTGCTGACCAAGGTGATACTGTTTTCCACATGCATGTAACTGTATACCGCCTTGTAGGTAGAGTATAATTTCTGGTTTTGATTGTGCTCTCAGATTATTGCTTCCTTATTTCAGCACCTTCGCCCTTTATAGAGGTACATTTTCTCTTACCGAGGATAATTTACTGCGTTTAATAGCTATTAGACACTATCGAGAGTGGAAGAGATTTTCAGTAATTTTCATTAGTTTCTTAACTTCATAAATACCTACTAGTCTCCCAAGTATATTGCACTTTGCTTAGCTTAACATTGTACTGCATTTTAAAGTCTAGAAACTTTGCTTTAATTTTAACTTTCACTACTAATGATTATACCGTGAGTTTCTTTATTAAGCTTTGCTTTCTAGTTCTTGTTTATGTTAGCAGCTCCTCATTTAATTAAAGCATTTAGCCCTGTAGACAGAATCTAAGTTTATAACTTAGTCAAAATGGAAGAGAAAGCTGTAATTTTAATCTCTCACTTCTTCACCCTCAGAGTGGTTTGAATCAATTGAACTAAATTTTTATTGTGCTGGTATTTTACATCAGTTTAAAATCTTTTAGCCATTATCACCATTGACGAGGGAGTAACAGAATGGGAAAGTTAATCGCTATCTACTGCTTCTCTAGCTTGCTTTTATTTCGTGATCTTATTAGATAATGTTAAATTTAAGAATGTCAGACTTGCTTATAGTTTGTGAAGAATATACATAGTAATTATGGGTAAATGTCTCTAAGTTATTGTATCTGAGGAATTTCAAAAAGTTATCCTATTTTTTAATTACCTAACCTTATAAATTTATAGAAGTTGTAGACTAAAACTAAAATCTCACAAGAGCAATGGGGTCCATTCTCTTGCCTGCATTTCTCTCTTTAAAGCAGATTTATGAATGAAGGTAGAAGCTTAATGTTCGGGGAAGTTTAGAAGTCTAAGCAGGTTATAGCCATGTAGTTTATAAGCCTAGCAAAGCCCTTCTTTCCTCTCCTCCACTGTCCCCTCTTCTTTCTCGCTTTACTCTCTCTCTCCCTGGAGGCCACATCCAGCAACAGAGATCTTGTTCTAGATCAGCTCTCTCCCCTGAGAGCACATTTCCAGAGAGCTGTTAGGCATTTCCTAAAGATCACCGGCATCTTACTAGCACATTAAATCTCACAGATGCTTAGCATCCTCACCCACACTTGGGGGCTTCACATTGTATATCCACCTTCCAACATTCAGGCTCCTGTGCAGGTTGCTGCCTCTCTCACAGTTACCTAGGTTTGAGCCTTCTTATCATCTCTGGCACCCTTCTTCTTCTCCTCACTTCATATCGCAGCTCTCTAGTGAAGCTTGTCACAGTCTGCAGGATTTATTGACTTCACCCATCCACTTCATCCGATCGCCACCACTCTGATAGGGCTCTGATCTCTTCCTGGAGCTGCTGCAGTTGTCTCTTCACTCTTGTTCATCCTTTGTACACTGCTCTCAGATTACATTTAACATTTGTCATGTCTCCTATTTATTTATGCAGCAATATTTATTGATCCATGCACTGAGCAGGGTGCTGGGATACAACTTGGTATAAAATAGGCATGTTCTCTAGCCTCAGAATTCCAGGGCTACTTTTGCAGATAGATAATTTAAAAAAGCCAGTATTCAAAAAAAAAAAAGTATTCTATGTCATGTTAAGTGCTGTGAGGAAAACAAGGTCAAGAAGTCGAGAATACTGAGGGAGAATCGGGAATACATAAGGCCCTTCTAGTGAGGTAATGTTTCTCCTAAAACCTGAAGGATGGGAAGAAGCCAGTCTGAGGGTAAAGGGACTCTTGCATGTGGATAGATAGGCCAAAGGAGAAAAGAGCTTGACATGCTTGAGAAGCCGAAAAAAGACCGTGACAGTTGAATACAAATACAAGTGTCTCGATTTGGGTTTGAGAGGTAGGCCATAGACACATCACTCAAGCCATGCTAATAGGCCATTTTAATTTTTCTCTTAATGCAGTGGGAAACTATTGAAAAGCTAACTTTATTCATCTAGTCAGTAGACATTGCCTGAGTACCTGCTATGCGGCAGGCAATGTTTGCAGCCTTAGAGTTGTGGTAAGAAACGAAACAAAATTCTTACCACAGGAAGAGTTGTTTTTGCAAGTTTTTGGATAAACACAGTCAGCCATAGCTTCTCATCGCCCTCTGCTCAAGGGACAGCAATGCCAACTGCAGTGTCAGAACCGTTCCTGCTTGCACCTCAGCTTCTCCCGTTCGCCAGAAGGTAGCTTTGGCATTTGTGGCCAGGATCTGACTCTAGTACTGCCTAGTACTATCCTAGTTATATGCAACAAGCAATTTGAGTGGAATGTGATTCACTAGCGTGAGCCTAAACATTCAGGTGTGTCGGGAGGTGGGGAAGGAGGTGGTGGTCGAAGTTCCCAGGAAGCCCAGTCAGTGCCCTCTCAACCAGGGCATCTGGCTGTTATGAAACTAAACTGGTATTGGACCTCGTGCATACCGTATCCCATGTGGCAGTCTGGCTCCTCTTACCCAGAGAGCATGGTGACCCAGCCCCTGGCCCCTCGGATGTGTCTGATGAAAGCAGCCAGCACTCTCCCACAGCAGGACAGCGCAGCACCTGGTGGTTAGTACACCACAGAATAGATGGGGCAGCACTGCGCTAGGCCAAACCAGCTTTTCACTGATCTAGCTGTCAGTGTAGCACTGTTGATGAAATAACCATCCTCCATATGGTTCTGAGCCAGGGCCCGTTGCAAAAGCAATGCCAACCCGTTTCTTCTCAGTGGCAGTAGGCTCAGCACAGTACTGTCTTCCATTATGGGAGGGGAGGCAGAGGACCACCTGCTGATCTGACATCCCTTAATCTCTGGGCCATTCTAAAGCCTTCCCTGACCTCCTAGAGCAGACTTTGTCTTTACTCCTCTATTCTGCTTCGTTTTTTCCTATGGCATTTGTCAGTCACTAACCCTGCACATCCATTTCTTTATCGTCTTGTCTCTCTTATTAAATGTAATCTCCATGAGAGCAAGAACTCTGTAAGATGTATATCAAGTAAAAGAAAGGTCTTTTAGTGACCATCGAACTTTTTAAGAATTGCTCTAATGTTATTCACCACTTGATTCAGAGGAGTTACAAAATGCTATTACACTATTGAACATCTTTTATGTTTGACAAGCAGTTTCATTTGCTGGGATCCAAAAAGTTGAAACTATTAGATTGTCAGGAAAGTCATGATGTATTTTTCTGTTTTTCTATAGAAAAATGTGTCATGACTTTGCAGACAACCCAATATAACCCTTATTGACAAAAGAAACAGTGATGTTTTTGTGGAGAGCAAGCAGTTACTTCCTTGGTAACTACCTGTATGATCATAGAAATATTACAGTTTTAGAGGCCAGCAGGTGGCATGATGGTTGAGGCACTGGACACTCCCACATGACCTACCGCAGTTTGTCCCGGATCTGGTGGCTTGCTTTCTCATTTCTCTCTCTCTGGTCAAATTAAAATGAATGAATAATAAAATTAAATAAATAAATCATTCTTAAAAAGAAATATTACAGCTTTCTAAGCCTTAATTGGCAGAGTGGATATAATAATATGGGCCTTGGATTATTGTTGAGAATTAAATGAGGATACAATGGCTGACTTACCTCACAGTGTGTCAAGTTTTAGGTGTTCAGTTCATGTTAGCTCTTTTCTTAGTGGGCGTCTATCAGTTTCACAGTTTCTTCAGAGAAAATAGTTACTTGGGAACCAGCAGTTAGCATAATGGCTATGTCGCTGGACTCCCATGTAGTCGACCGCGGTTCGCTTCCTGGATCCGGTGGCTTAAAACTCACGTCGGGCGCGTGTGCGTGCATGCCCAAGATCCCGAGAGGAGAATGGAGGAGAAGGGATTGCGGCGTGACCATCCCCCCTGGGGGGGGTGATTTCTCGCTTTCTGTCTCTATGTCTCTCTCTGTCTGTCTGGTGAGCGCACACACCCTATAGCGAAAACCTCTTCAAAAAAGAGAAAATAGTTACTATTATTATTTTACTTGTAAGCAGTATTATAGAATAGAGCGTTTCATGAACATTAAACTGTTTATATACATTATTTATTGCCATAATGAGTGAAATAAGATCCTAAAGAAAATGAATTTCAACTGAGTATGTTCTGAACCCATAAAACCTTAATTTCTCAGTCAGAGGAATTCACTTGCTATCTTTTAGCAATTGTAACTCTTTCTGTAAGTATTCTAATTTTTACACTGTAGAGAATGTTCTAACACTTTGTTACCACAGCCTTGGCTTTCATTTTATCATAAGATCTTCCCTCAGTTTTTGTCCTTTATGTAAAATTTGAGGCAACTTGGCATTTGATGGTTATTGATAGCCGTACAGGACTTTTTCAGTAGAAAATGGGTTGCCTTTTGCTCTTCTAAGAGAAGGGATGAGAGAGAAAGTTATGTTTTTATATGTGTGAGGTATCTTTTACTTGTGTAGGATGATTGAGAGACAATGTGAAGAAAGGAATAGTCAAAAGATATGGGGCAAAAGCCTTAAGACCTGAGTTTGTCAGCAAAGCATGAGATGAATAAAGCTTTGTCCTTATGTATAAGCCTTGGGCTGCAGACTTTGAACACAGGTTTGCATTGCCTTTATAAATAAACTACTGGAAGTTTCTAGGTGTATCACCTAAGCACTTCAGTAAAGATGTATTGATCTTTCCTGTATTGCACAACACTTAGGAGCTTAAGACAGTTTTTTCTTTTTTCCCCAGGTGGTTGTGGTTAAAAGATAAGGTTATGGCTTAAATATAGCAGATACAAATTGAACTGAGGAAGATCTTCTTACGCACTGGAAGCATAAAATACTATAAATATTGGGGCCAGCAGGTGGCATGGTAGTTAAAGCTCTGGACTTACACATGACCGACCACAGTTCAAGTCCCCGAGCCAGTGGCTTGAAAATTACTGCAGGCAGTGTGCATGCAATGCCAGAATTCCTGAGAGGAGAATAGAGAAAAAAGGGATTACAGTGTAGCCACCTGGGGAGGTGTGATTTCTCACTTTCCCTCTCTGTCTCTCTCCAGGAAGCACACGTTCCCCATGGCAAAAACCTATCAAATTGCTAGCTGGCCCCAACATGATTTCTTGATGCCTAGGAAATCTAATTGGTTTAATGTATGTTAATGTATTGCATAGGTCTCTTGTTTAATCCTTTAATTCCATTATGTCAGCTTTTTCCTGTTAGCCAGTAGAACTGAAACTGACCTGTGAGTTTAAGCTAGTGGTATAATTGAGTGACGCTTTATATCAGCATTTCAAAAGATAGTACTGGTTGTGTTCTGTTGTATTTGACAAATACGATTAAACTGAAATGCATTGGGGGTATGAAAATACTAGTTTCATATTTATGACCAGTATTAGAATAATATTTAAATTGTTATATTCCTTTTTTCTTAATAAGCTGTATTTAAATCAAAAAAAAAAAGGCAAGACAGTTTTTGGCTCACAGTAAAATTGAGCAGAAAGTACGCATACCCCTTCCCCACACACACACACTCATCATTATCACCCAAAGTCCACAGTTTACATTAGGGTTCACACTTGGTCTTGCACATTCTGCGAGTTTGACAGATATGAAAGGCCATGTGTCTGCCTTCCTGGTATCACACAGACTAGTCTTTATGGTTCTGACTTTTCCAGTGTCATATAGTTAGAGCTGTACAATATATAGCTCTCTTTAGACTGTCTTAACTTAGTTAGCATAGGTATTGAAGGGTTTTCCTTTTTTTTGTGGCTTGACAGCCCTTCTCTTTTTAGCACAGAAATGATATTCCATTGTCTCGGTGTACCAGTTTGTTTATTCACTTACTAGAGGACATCTTTGTTGCTTCCAAGTTTTGATGGTTGTGAGTAAGCATCAGTGACAGGTTTTCATGCAGATCTACGTAAGTTTTCAACTCATTTGGGTAAATACCAAGGAGCACAATTGCTGGATCACATGCTCAGAGTGCCTTCAGCTCTGTAAGAAACTGCGGAACTGTTTAACACAGCGGCTGTGCCATCTTGCGTTCCCACCAGCCCTGCCTGAGTATTCCTGCCCTTTCACAGCCCCACCAGCGTCTGGTGTCAGCGTTCTGGATCTGGGCCATTCTAATAGGTGTGTGGTGGTCTCTTGCTATTTAAATTTGCAACTCACTACAGAAAAATTATATTTAGCATCTTTTTATATGCTTATTTGCCATCTGTATATTTTCTTTGATGAAGTGTCTGCTCAGGTCTGTGCCTTTTTAAAATCAGGTTGTTCATTTTCTTGAATTTTAAGAATTCTTTCTTGGATAGCAGCCCTTTATCAGAATTATGTCTTTTGCAAATATTTTTCACTCTGTGTCTTGTCTTCTCATTCTCTTGAATATTCCTTTTTTTTCCCCTCAAGTGTTTTTGGCTTTGAGGACATCTTCTAAAGTTTTCTTATAACATCTGCAGATTAATTGTAATATCATAAAGAACTTGGCCATTTATAAGTTCATATTTGTATTCCAAATACACCAAGTATTGATGCCATGTAATCCACTTCCAATTTACTCTTCAGGGATGTGAAATAAAGCTGGCGAACATGCTTTGGTAAATTTTCTTTCTCTATAACAGCTATTCATGCCAATGTAAGGATGTAGGAAGTGAGCCAAGAGGAGTATGAGATTATCCCTCGAAAAAGCACTCATAAAACTTCTTCCCTCTTTCTCTTCTGAAAAATGGTCAATTAGATGATTTTGTAAAAATTACCGGAAAATGCTTTCAAATTCCTTTATAGAGTAGTGTTCTACTCATCAAAAACACAGTAAGGGGTTTGTTATTTACCTAATAATGACTCAGAACTCTAGAAACTGAGAGTTTTAATGACAGTAGTTTATTTTCTTATTTTATAACCTGCTTTAAAAAGAGAAAATATTTTTCTTATGTTAAAATGCCAACATATTTTATAATTCTGTTATATGTTTATTTGCATGAAGGAATAGTGAAAAAATAGAATGATTTAATCTTTTTTTAAAGGAAAATATCTATGCTAGTAAGGAATTGAGTCTTATCTTACCCTTCTCCATTTGTTAAAATAAAGTTCTTTGTCCTCTGCCTTATTGGGTTTACGGATAGTATTTCCAGACCTTAGTTATAATGTTAATTTGCTGGTTTCTTTATTAAAAGGGGTCAGATTTCTGGCGAGCAAGTCTGCTGCCTTCCCTAACCACTGTTTCTTCTGTTCCACGGAGTAGTAAACACTAAGCTTGAAATGAAGGGAGACAGCCCTAAAGTATGAAAAGGAGGGACAAGCAATTCATAAACGAGAAAGCCAACAGAATTGAGGCAAACAGGAAGCAGATATATTAAGTGAACTGAGTTTTTGTTTTTGTTTTTTGCTCTGGAAATTTGTTAATGAAGACTAATGAAGACTAATACATGGACCGTGGCTTTTAATCACAATCTAGAAAGGATAAAATTTGGCTAATATAATTTGACTTGTCTTTTTAAAAAAGACATATTAAAAAGGAGAATATATAAGCTAGCATTTTTTAAAGATATTTTCCAGAAAAAGAGCTTAGAAATAGAAAATAATCCTTTATAAGCAAAGATTTACTTACTTTTTTTTCAATTGGAGATTTAATACTATAGTGGATTATGGCCTATTGCTGGAAATTACAAGTAAGTACTGGTGTTATGCTATATTTTTTAAAAAAATGGGCAGATGGTTTTATTATATTTTTAGTGTTTTTGTACTATTTATGACTTTATAATCAAAGTATTTCAAGTTAGAAGTTGCTAGAAATTTTTTTCAAATAATTATTTTATTTATCGTTATTATTTTTTAATTTGACCACAGAGTGGGAAAGTCAGAAAGCAAGCTGCCAGGTCCAGGACACTAACCACAGTCAGCCATGTGGGAGTCCAGTACCTTAACCACAACACCACCTTCCCACTCTAGAAATTGTTATTTAGAAAGTTGTGTTTAGCAGAGCCGGCAGGTAACATAGTAGTAAAGGCACTGGACTCCCACAGGGGCAATTGCGGTTTGAATCCTGGACCTGGTGGCGTGCTTTCTCACTTTCCCTCTCTCTCTCTCTCTCACTCTGTCTCTCTCTGGTCAAATTAAAATAAATAAGTAAATAAAGTTAAATAAAGTAATTCTTAAGAAGAAGAAAGTCATGTTTAGCATTTTATAAAATTTTACCAATAATTTAATTTAATTTATGACTTTACTAATATGAGATACTGATTACACTGTGTGATTTTTTTTTTTGTCCAAGACAGAGTAAAATTTAGGATATGAGGCAGCCTCCTGTATTTGCATCCGTATATTAGAATATACCTACTTTTTTAAAAATAATTATTTTATTTATTATCATTATTATTTTTAATTTGGCCAGTCAGAGACAGAGAGATTGAGGGAAAGCAAGAAAACAAGCCTCCAGGTCTGGAACTTGAACCTCTGTTGCCCATGTGGGAGTCCAGTTCCTTACTCACTGTACCACTTGCAAATCCCATACCCACAGTTTTACTTAACTGTATTTATAAAGTAGCAAATAAGTAGTTTCCTTGGTCTTGCTGTAGATATTTTTATGATGGTACACTTTCAGTGTAACAGAACATTAGTACGTGGAAGCCTGTCTGTGCCTCGGCCAGTGGGAATTCAGAGCTGAGGGAGTATGCTGTCAGATTGGCAGGCTCGCTGGTGGCCCTTAAACCTCCGTGCTTCCCGTCCCCCAGAACCTGAAAGTCCTCTGCTTCAGGTTGACAGAATCAAATTTACTGCATCACAGATTTCTTTATCCTGTAGACTCTGGAAGCTAGTTTTATTATAAGGTATCTTCGAGTCTGTATCTGTAGTCTGCATCCTTTCTTTACAGCATATCCGCTCTCACTTTGTGAACAGGATTATTTTTTAATGTGCTCTATAAAAGTGTGTGAAATTAATATTCTTAATGAAGTTTGATGCTAGGAATATCCGTAAGGATAAAAAAGACTTCTCAGATATTAAGGCACCTTAGCATTAGTTTACCTGAAATGCTTTGTGTTCACAGGAAGAACAGGCAGCGAAATTGAAAGCGGAGAAGATCAGAGTTGCTCTAGAGAAAATTAAAGAGGCACAAGTGAAAAAGGTGATATGTGGGGTTTCTCCTGGTTTGGGATTCTTACCAGTTTTACAGATTTGTAAAGGCTTGCCTTATTTATATAAGGTACCTCTGAAATATGGCAAGGCAGAGGGGTATTTCTTCCTATTATGTATTTTCATAAGCAGTATTGTTTTGTGTGAGTGGATAAAGCACACTTTTAAAGAAATTTTTTAAATAAAATAAATTCTCCTAAAAGAGTAAAACAAGATAGTCCTATCGGGCACAGCAATGGGAGTGCACACTGCTAAGGTCCTGTGCTCCGCAGGCTGGGACCACAGGGGAGACCCAGGTTCAGTTACCAGTCTAACCTAAAGGCTGTGCGCTGTGGTGTACACCTGCAGTCCTGGTGACGGGAAGAGGCGGAGGCAGGAGAAACACAAGCTCTTGCCTTTTAAAAAGAGCCAGATATGGTGGTGCACACCGTTAGTCTCAGCTGAGAAGCAGGAGGATCGTGAAACTGTCTTTAAAAACCAAACAAAAAGCCCACTTTTATATTTCAAAAGATATCTTACCTTTATTTGTATAGATTATTTGATATCTAGCTGTCAGCCTATCTTTCTTGCATAATAAAGTCGGTTGTGTTTTAATGTATATTTAAAGACAATCAGAATATTATTTAAATTAGAAGAAATCCTTTTGTAAAGTGCCATATTTGGTTTGCATTTATTTCCCTTTTTACCTGTTTCAGCTGGTGATTAGAGTCCACATGTCTGATGACAGCTCTAAAACCATGATGGTGGATGAGAGACAGACTGTGAGACAAGTGCTGGATAACCTGATGGACAAATCCCACTGCGGTTATAGTTTAGACTGGTCACTGGTGGAGACCATTTCTGAGTTGCAAATGGGTTAGTAATACTTGCTTTAATAGCTTTTTAATTCTGTATAATTCCAACAGTCTTCATATTGATTAGAGCGTTTGATGTAAAATCACTTGTTATAATTGGGCTTTGTTTTACATTATTTTTTTCTCAAGTATCTTGAGTGTTTTTTGAATGTAAAATAATTTCCAGTTCACCTCAGATTTTATAATGGCTAGAACACTTTTAAAAAAAAAAAAATTGCTAGGGCAGGCAAGTGGTGTAGTAGTTAAAGGTAATGGATTCCCAGGACCAGCAGTCAGTGTAATGGCTATGTCGCTGGACTTCCATGTAGTCGACCGCAGTTCGAGTCCCAGACCCAGTAGCTTAATCTCACACCCGGTGCGTGTGTGTGCGTGCCCAAAATCCCAAAAGGACAGTGGAGGAGAAGGGATTGCAGCGTGGCCATCTCCCCTGGGGGGTGATTTCTTGCTTTCTGTCTCTCTGTCTCTCTCTGTCTTTCAGGCGAGCGCACACGCCCTATAGCAAAACCTTTTCCAAAAAAGGAAAAAAAAAAAGGCAGTGGATTCCCACATGGACAATTACGGTTCAAGTCCTGGACCTGATGGCTTGCTTTCTCACTTTCTCTCTCTCTCTCTCTCTCTCTCTCTCTCTCTCTCTCTCTCTCTCTCTCTCTCTCTCTCTCTCTCTCTCTCTCTCTCTCTCTCTCTCTCTGTCTTTGTCTGGTCAAATTAAAAAAAAATAAGTGGAATTAAAAAAATAAATAATTCTTTTTTTTAATAAATTGCTAAAGGGTGCATATGCTTCCTAGAGAAAGAGAGAGGAAAAGTAGAAAAGCACCCCCCATGGGGAATGATCACACTGCAGTCCCTTCTCCATTTGTCCTTCTTTTTGGGATTTTGGGCAGCACATACACATTCCTGGCATGTTTTTTAAGTCACGCCAGTATAGAACTTGAACCACACGGTTGGCCATGTTGGATTTAGCTGCCTTAACCACCATGCCACCAGCTGGCACCATTTTTTTTTTTTCTTAAGGTTTTTGCCATTTGGCATGTGTGCTTACCAGAGAGAGACAGGGGGTTTGGGGAGGATTGAAAAATCACTGCCTAGGGAAGATGACCACAGCATAGTTCTTTCTCCTACATTCTCCTCTTAGGATTTTGGGCACACAAGCACACATGCCCAGCATAATTTTCAAGCTATCAGGTCCAAGACTTGAACTGTGGTCAGCCATGTAATAATCCAGCATCTTAACCGCAATGCCACTTGCTGTCCCCCCCCCCAATATTTTTTTAAACAGTAACAATATTTTTTCCTTTAAAGAACTGCATGGAGCAATATATTTACTAAAGATCATTTTATTTGCATTCATATTGAAGTCTTTATACTAGCATTTGACTTTCAGGGAAATAAAGCATATCAAGAAATTTTAAAGAATCAACTTGTTCAATATATGACATGTTTTTTGATTCCTAATTAGAAAATACAGCTATGTTTAAAATTAAACAGCAGTCAAGCTGGCCCCATAATCTAGTGGTTAAGGCAGCTAGATTCCACATGGCCAATTATGGTTTGAATCCCAGGCCCAGTGGCTTACAAAATACACCAGGTGTGTGCGCATGTGTGCTCCAAATCCCAACAGGATGGAGGAATGGAAAAGGGACCGAGACCACACCCCCCTGGGGTGTGCTTTCTTCCCCTTTTTCTGTCTCTCTCTGTCTCTCTCTTTAATGAGCATATGAACCCTCTGGCAATAAAAAAATAATTAACAACACTCATGAGTCAAAGAATAAACCTTTTTGGAAAAATTTTAAATGCCAATAACTAAATGCTTTTGGAAGTACTTTATAAACTGGAACAAATGTGTCTTATTTTTAAGAGTGGGAGGCTGAAGCATGATGTACTGCAAGTCAGATGACCTGGATTCTGGTCTCAGTTTTTCTGTGTATGACCTTGGTTAGGTCATTTGACCTCACTAGAACAAGGATCCTTGTTTCCAAAATGAGGAAAGACCAGATGATCGCCAAGAACCAAGGGCTGTAGTTTGATTCGTTGGTTCTGATGTGAATTTCCTTGCAAAGTTTCATGTCTTTCATGCATTTCTGATGAATACAGGTTGAGGACCCTTAGCTGCAATGCTTAGGACCAGAATCCAAGGAGATTTCCTTTTTTTTTTTTTTTTTTTTTTTTTTTTGGATTTTTTACATTTATGTAATGAGATTTTTTTTGGATGGGACTCAAGTGTAAACACAGAATTCATTTTATGTTTCGTATATCCTTAAACACAGCCTGAAGGGAATTTTATACAGCATTTTTGTGTTGCAGTTTTGGACTGTGATTCATCTCCTGAGTTCAGGTGTAGAATTTTCCACTGTGGCATCATGTCAGCCCTCAAAATTCTTTGAATTTTTGGAGCGTTTTGGGGTTTTGGAGTAGGGATGCTTAACCTATACTAAGAAAAAAAAATCAATATTCTATTTTGGGACAGAGAGAATTTTTGAAGACCATGAAAACTTGGTTGAAAATCTTCTTAACTGGACAAGAGATAGCCAAAACAAGCTTATATTTATGGAACGTATAGAAAAAAATGCACTCTTCAAAAACCCACAGGTAAGACTGAATAGCTTTTTTTTTTAGGGTTTTGCCATAAGGCACGTGCATTTGTTGGAGAGAGACAGAGGACAGAAAGAAAGAAATCACCCTGCAGGAGGATAGCCATACTGCAGTCCCTTCTCCATTCTCCTTTTGGGATTTTGGGCACACGTGTACACGTGCTCGGTGTAATTTTCAAACCACCAGGTCTAGGACTCAAACTGTGGCCGGCCATGTGGAAGTCCAGCCCCTTAGCCACCATGCCACCTACTGGCCCCCAAATAGCACTTTTTAAGTGTGTTCTTTATTTTAATCCTCTCCCTGCGAAGTGAATAGAACTAAGACTGGGGGCCGCGCTAGTAGCAGTGTAGCTGTAAAAACCACAGGAGCATTCGTGGTTGCTCCTGTGGTGAAAGTCAGCTGAGCCAGGTGTCAGGCCTCAGAAAGGTTCCCAGTCACCCAACGGGGTGAACCCTTGTGGGAACAGAAGCAGCTTCAGGGAGTTACCAGGTTTCTCTACTCTGTAACCCAGAGCTGTGCTGATCCCAGCTGTTTATTTGGAGACTTCTTCATCTCATACTTCTTCATCTCATCCAAGGAAAGTACTGCTTTACTTCAGCCATTTTTATTTCTTTTTTTGAATTATTATTGTTTTTTTAGTTTATTGCCAAAAGACACCTGTACTCATTAAAGTGGGAGAGAAGGAAAGAAGGGGGGACACCCTTCAATTGAACACATTGCAATCCTTTTCTTCCATTTTCCATCCCGTCAGCACTTACACACATGTGCTTGGCATGTTTTTCAAGCAGCTGGGGCTGGGATTTGAACCACGGTGGGTCATTTGGTCTCCAGCTCCGTAAATATAATAACTGTAGCTACTGGTCTGGCCCTGAATTATTATTTGTTTTAATTCTGGTAATCTTGATCATAAATGGCTCCACATTCTAGTAGATGTTACTTGACTTATTTAGGATCTTTCTTTATTCCAAAATTATGTTTAAGTTAGTACCTCCAGGCTTTTTTTTTTTTTTTAAATCAGTAGGTGAAGGAAACAAGAACTCACTATACGCAGTATTAGTGAGGGGCCAGCCATAGTGGTGCACAGTGGTGCTACTGCTTGGGAGCTGGACACTGCATGGGGGGCTTGGGTTTGGTTCCTGAGCCAACCAAACACTGCTTCACCACCATCTGGCCACCATGTAGGTGTCAGGATATTCCTGCCCTGGCCTTTTGATCATCTAGGATTATAGGCATATATGTAATGTCAGCTCAGGATGTGGAGGAGAGCAGTTTATGGGAAAATCTCTGACAAATGGAATGGCAAGGAGGAGGCTGGTGTTCAGTGTTTTAGCTTAGCGATGCCATCCATTTAAAGACACCTTTTCAAAGGATCCCTCCCCTCACTCTGCACTGGCAGATATTGACATAGAGTTGGCATTTTTCTAGAAGAAACCACGTATGTGCCTGTGCCAAGGGAATAATAAAATGGGCTTCCTTCTCCTTTCATTTGTTTTTTCAGAATTATCTTCTGGGGAAAAGGGAAACAGCTGAAATGGCAGACAGAAACAAAGAAGTTCTACTGGAGGTATGACTCCCCCCTTCTATTTTCTGCACATTTTAAAATTAAAATATTAAGGACCTTTTGAAGGTAAATATGTCAGTGTTCTACGTTCATAGTTACAGTTGTAACTAGAGAAGCTTCTATTCTTTGCTAGCACAGGGAAGAGAGTCAACTGTGTGAACATGTTAGGCCACTGAAGAAGGTTTTAAAACTATCATTTTGCCAAGGGATATTTTAGTGAATGAAAAGGAGTGACAAACTTCTAGGAAATGACCAGTCAACAAAGGATGTGATTATACTGCTTTTAAAATGTTTAGGCAAAGAGAAATTTGAACGTAAGTAGCTGATCACAAAACATTTTAACCTTTAGCCTTAAATAACTCAATTTTAAAAATCATTTTTTGAAAAAAACATTATTTTGAAGCATACTAAATTTAAGCATAATTGAATTTTTGACTTTGGCTAATTTTAAAGAACTAAAATCAAAGACGTTAGTATGTTTTTGAAAACCTAAGTAAACTTTTGCCCGAGGAAACGTACATTCGCCCAGGAGAGAGAGAGAGTGAGAGAGAGAAAGCACTGGGCATGGTCACACTGCACTGCTCTTCCCTCCATTTCTTCATCGTAGCAGGATTTGGGGTATGCACACGCAAATGCCTGGCATGTTCAAGGTATTGGGCTGAGATTCAAGCTGTGGTTGGGCATGTGGGATCCAGCTTTCTTACACAGCACTTAACCACTATGCTGTGGGACCAGCCCCTGAATCAACTCTTCTGCAAGGCAATTAGGGAAAGGAAGATCAATACTCAAACTTTCATAGAAATACTAGCTACATTTATCCTCTCTATAATTCCTCGTTTTTATGCACTTTGGGGAGAAAAAAATTAATTTAGGCTCAAAATGTCATACGTTAGTGTTTTAGCGAGGATTTTTTTCTTTTACAAGTACATAGTTGATTTATTTGTAATTATTTTGTAAAATTACATCTTTTGTAAGCAGACACTAGACTTCAGAATTTTGCATGTTTATATTCCCTTCAATCTATATTTTTAAGAATTATTTATTTAGTTTTGTTATTTATTAGTATTATTACTACTTTTTTTAAATTTGACCAGTGAGAGAGAAAGGGAAAGTGAAAAAGCAAGCTGCCAGGTCTAGGCTGACTGTAGTCAGCCATGTGGGAGTCTCCAGCACCTTAACCAGCATGCCACCTGTCAGCCCCCATTACTAAATCCTTTAAAAAATAAGTGCCCTCTTTTGTTAGAATCATATAAATGATAGTCTTTAAATTGTTAAATTTAATCATTCAGTTAGCATGTTGCTTTTTTAAAAAAAATTCCTGTTTAGCTTAACAGCTAATATAGATATATTGTTGATTTAGAGAAAAATTAAATCTAATAGTCCATGTTATTCCTCACACTTTTATTAAATTTAGTTTAAGTATGCAGTTTATAAATGCTTGTAAGTACTGTTATGTGCAATTCAGTTGACATTTCAAGTTTGTTTGTTTTTTTTAAACAATTTTAGACAATATTTGTTGGTTAAAATTAATTATTGCATTTATGACTGGCGTTTTTACTTAATGAACTTTTTAAGATTGCCACAGTTGTTCCCAAATAAATTCATAGTGTGTTTAGAATAGCAAGTTCTAATGTAGAAAAATTAGCAGGATGGTTTCTGCAAAACCATTTAGGTTTAATTATAGTGTTGTGCATTTCATGGGCTAAACATAGCTTAGTTTTGAAAATCCAAGGATTATAAACCTTCACATATCTTCTGGTTATTTTAGGAATGTTTTTGTGGAAGTTCTGTAACTGTACCAGAAATCGAAGGAGTCCTTTGGTTGAAAGATGATGGCAAGAAGTCCTGGAAAAAGCGTTACTTTCTCTTGCGAGCTTCTGGTATCTACTATGTTCCTAAAGGAAAAGCAAAGGTGTGTGTTCCGTCTGTTGACTTTTAAACTCCCTCGTTATGTTCATTGCTTTTAATTTGTAGTGAATATGCTGACAGGGGGAATCCAGCTATGTTTGTTTCATCCCACGCAGCAGACATACAGAACATTACTTTGTTTAGTAATTACAAAAAAGAGAAAGCCCCCAAACTTCCTCCTCTGTGATAGTAAGTTTGGCTCATCTTGATTTTGTTACCAATTTGAAATCATATTGAATAGTTCTATTTATTATCCTGGGGACTCTTGACAAAGTAGTTTTTGTTGGGGAAGAGTAGCTTTCAGAGATAATAGGCGTTTCCATCTTGGTTGAGTAACAGACTTCTGCTGTGGGGCCCCTTGTTGTATAATAGCTGTCACTTCTGTGCTTACTGGGGACAAGACTCCCTGAGCACTTTACAACGTCATCTCATCTGGTCTTTACAACAATCTTATGGGCAAATGTGGTTGCCCCATTTAACTAGTGAGGAAACCCCAGTTCCGAATCACTGTACTTGAATTATGCGTTACAGGCACTAAACTACCTGTTTTCTTGTTCTTCCCGGAGAATTCTCTTATACTAGATATATGGTATTGTATTTGATCTTCTATATCTAAAGTATCTTTAAAATGCAAACTGTTTCCAAACAAGTCAGTGTGCATTATGAGCAGCAAGGCAGTAAGTGAACTGCCTTCTTGTTACAGTGTAGATCAAAGAAGAAACATTGAAAGGGAATCTCATGGGCTTGCCTTCTGCAAAATAGCAGTACTATTACTGCTATAATACTTAAGTTTTGATTCTCAACTAGAAACTGTTACCAGGTGTGAAGAATGCCTGTTTGCACATCTTTGTTAATCCCGTCTTTGGGTGTTTGTATCACAGGTCTCTCGGGATCTGGTGTGCTTCCTCCAGTTGGATCACGTCAACGTCTATTACGGCCAGGACTATCGGAACAAGTACAAAGCACCGACAGACTACTGTCTAGTGCTGAAGGTAACAACATACTGCCTTTAAGAATTGTTTTTGATGTTGGACAGAGAGCAGGCGATTGGGCATTTTAGAGTAGCTTGGACCTTCAAGCTTTATTCCATAGGTTTAAACGGCAGTGGAGAAGGGTGTCATGCCGCAGCTGCCCCAGGCCAGTTAGCCAGTTAGATTAGTGTTAGTGAGGAGCAGTGCTGGATTGTGTGTTCTAAATCATCATGTGTCAAACCTGCTTGTTTACAAATGAGACTGGTTTAATCGCAGGCTTACTAGGAAAGCTTAGCTCAGAGCCAGTGTGGAATGTATTTTTGGTTCTTTCCCTGTGCTTACTCAGCAGAACCATCAGAGGGCACTGTGGCCAAGTGCAAACTGGACTGTCATCTGAACAGAAATAATTTTTGTCGTTCTTTTTTTCTCCAAACTGTAGCCAGGGTGGTCCCTGCATGTATTATGATCTAAGCTATTTTTAGGGAGTTTTTGTTTTTCTCCTTTATCTAGGCTTTTGGACTTCTCACACAGATTTTGTCTGTGCTAAAAGAACTACTAGTGATCTACTGGAACATCAATAAAGACTACATGCAAAATGCAGGAAGGTTATGGCGATAATTAAATTGTTCTCCTTGTTTCCATACCAGTGACCCTTTAGTAACCACTTAGTTCTGATATTTATATCATCATGTTTGATTTCCCTGTTCTCTGAGAATTGTCACTTGGTTTTGGGGAGCAGCAGTTACTTAAGATTTGGGGTTGAAGATTTGATTGCTTTGATAAAATTAGGTAGATTATATTAGCAACCCTTCATTAAATAATTCTTTCTTGGACAATACCACCATATCCTATAGGTTGCTTTTGGAAGCAAATGATTTTTTAAAAAATCAAAACAAAGTAGCATAATCCAGCAGTTTTCAAATTGAGGTCCAGGGTCCCCTCTGAGTGCTAAAGCCGTGATGTCAAAATCATTTTCCTAATAATAGTAAGATGTTATTGGCCTCCTGCATTCTCATTATCTCATAGATGTCTGGTGGAGTTTTCTGAGAGGTTCCATTAACATGATGGTGTCCTAGCTGTCTTGGCTAGTGTAATGTGTATTTGTGTATTTCTTTGTTTTCATTTTTTTCTCCATGTTAATTTATAATAAGGTAAGTATTGCAAGTGCAGATATAAACCAGCTCTGTCTTCTCAGGTCCCCACTGGGCCCAAGAATTAAGTTGGCATAGGATAGATTAACCAGGGTCAGCAGGTGGTACAGTGGTTACATTGCGGACTCCCACATGACTGACTGTAGTTCCACTTCTGGATTGGGTGGCTTGAAACTCATGCCAGGCATGTGTGCCTGTGTGCCGAAGATCCCAGAAGGAGAAAGGATCGTGACATGGCCATCCCTCCTGGGGGCTGATTTCTTGCTTTCTGACTTTGGCAGATATAAGCACCCTAAGGCAAAAACCTCTTAAAAATAAAAAGATAAATTAACAGGAGGAAAACAGGACAGGTTGTCCATGGCACAAAAACCCTCATAAAGAAAGAGAAGCCCAGTGAAGCTATTCAAGTCAGTTACTTACATACCGGATTAGATTAAGAATAGTAAATCATGGGACCAGCAGTTAGTGTAATGGCTATGTCGCTGGACTCCCACGTAGTCAACCGTGGTTCGCATCCCGGACCTGGTGGCTTAAAACTCACCCCGGGCGCGTGCGCGTGCGTGCCCAAGATCCCAAGAGGAGAATGGAGGAGAAGGGATTGCGGCGTGACCATCCCCCCTGGGGGGTGATTTCTCGCTGTCTCTCTGTCTCTGTCTGTCTGGCGAGTGCACATGCCCTATAGCAAAAACCTCTAAAAAAATTTTAAAATAGAATAGTAAATCATGAAGAAGCAACTTAATCATATGGTGAGGCTTAAAGAAAAAGAGGTATTTTAACATGGTCCTTACGGTCAGTTCAACTTCTTATCATTAAGGACATTAGTGCATCCTTCTAGTATAGGGAGGAGCTTTTTCACATAGAAATGTCATCCTCTGCCTTTAAGAAGTGATAAGAGGTTCAAAGTGACCTTTTGTGCCTGCTGTTTTTCATGTTTTTAATTTAAATGGTCAATATGCCAGGTGGGTCTATTTTTAAACTCTTTTAATATTGGTAGACATAACTAACCCACATAAATTAAAGTTATTTGAGGGTCTCATAATATGAAGACAGTAAGAGTTAGTTACTCCAGTGACTTCAGTGAGCTCAAATTCTTTCCATCTTTCCCTCTTCCATTTTCTATTGATATATATTAGATTATTCCCAGGCTAGCCTACCTCACAGTCTCAAAATGGCTGCCACAGTTCCAGGCATCACCTGTAGACCTAGCAAAATCCAGCAGAACAAGGACTACTTTTCCCTGTATTTGTCCTTTTTTTTTTTTAAGAGGAAGGAATTCTCAGAACCTGCACAACAGCCCTTTCCCATAAGAGCTCTTAGTTCACTCTTAAACTAACCACTGACAAGCAGAATGAAGCCACTGAGGTTGGCTTAGACTAGGCATAAGTCACACCCTGCGGGACAGAGGTGAACATTCGGGCTCTGCCAGGAAAGACACGGAAAGGAGAAGATGCCTGGAGGGCAGGCAGCCACCGTGTCTCAGGTGACACACCTACATCAGAAGCCATCGGCACATCAATCCACATCTGTTCTAGAGTCCTCATTTTCAAGATACGGAAACTAAGGTTTAGGATCAACTTGCTCAAGGCCATACAACTATTAGACATGTTTTTTGTAGTGGTACAGCAGTAAGGCGATGCTCTGTAACACTGAAGCCACATGGGAAGGTCCTCAAATAACTTTAATTTATGTGGGTTATGTCTACCGATACCAGGTGCTCACATGCTGGCTGGCCGAAGCTGGGGATGGATCGAGTTAAGGGGACTCTGTTGGAAGTGCATCTCTCTGTCTCTCTGTCAGAAGAAATAAGTAAATAAACATTAAAAAAAAAAAAAAGACATTTCTTTTTTTTCCTGCAAAGTCTGAATGAGGTTTGGCATCTATGAATATTTTTATTCTTCAGCATATGAGTTATAACAAATGAAACTTTAAAAGTGCTGAAACACAGGGTCTACACAAAAGAGACTGAAATGTTATATTTATGAGGCTTGGTTCGTCTTAGCTTCAGACTGTCCTGACCGAGTCTGAGTCCTTCCTGTGAGATTCAGGGTATGTGAAGTGTACCCACACTTAATAGGACGGTAATCAGGCATCCTGTTTGGTAATTCTTTTTTTTTTTTTTTTTTTAAGTTTTTTTTGCCATAGGATATGTACACTTTCTGGACAGAGAGAGAGAGACAGAGGAAAAGTGAGACATCACCCCCTGAGGGGATGGCCATGCCGCAATCCTTTCTCCATTCCCCCCCTAGGATTTCAGGCATGTACGCATACGTGCCTGGCGTGGTGACTCATTTTTTAAAAGGTAATAATAAAAGCAACAATAGGAAGTAGGAAGAGTTCATGAAATTTGACAATATAGAAACAAATATAACATGTTAATATGTCATTTGCAAGATGTACACATATGTTGGGACACATGTATACATGTATAACTAAATTAGTTTCTTTAAGGAAACTTGTGTTTCCCAAACTTCTCTGCCACAAAAGTTGGAATATGGCTCATCTCAGCCATATTTTAAATTGCATCCCTAAAAAGGGCAAAGCAGTTCGTCTCAGTATGGTAGGGCAGAAGGGGAAAGCGCTTGCATTTAGGGATGGAATGTGAACGTGAACTTCGCCAGCACAGTTACTAACAGAAATACACTACGTGGTGTAATCATGGAGGCCTCGGGGTAAGTGGCACACAGAAACTTTCTGCGTACAGTTGAGAGAATTAATTTTCAAGCAGGTGGCACCTCTTCAGTCACTGTCCTTTGACACCTGGACTGTGATCTTAGGGTACCACTTTCAGTTACAGTTACAGGAATTACCTGTCCCAACCTAATTTTGGGCATAAACACAAAAAAGATAGCAAAATAGTAACCCACAATTTCTTATTTTACTGTTGTATTTTTATATTGAGTTCTCAAATTTTTTACCTTTTATTAAAAAAAAAGAAAAACTTTCCAAGTCAGTATCATTTTGAAAAATGAAACGTTCCTTAATAGCTTTTCACCTGTTTGGGGAGCAATTTCATTGTATACTCTCTTTGAATCTTTAAAAATCTAAATGTCAGCCCATCCATGGTGATACATTCTAGCAGGAGGCTGTGCTTGCAGGCTGGGACCATGTAGGAATTCTGGGTTCAATTCCTGGTTCAACCTAAAGGCTGGGTGCCGTAGGTGCACACCCATAATCACAGTACCTCAGAGGAGTGCAGGTTCAGGGCTGGGCCTGGGCAAGCCTGTCTGAAAGAGCTGGGCGTGGAAGCACACCTCTGGATTCCCAGCTGAGAGGCTGAGGCAGGACTATCATGACAGCGAGACCCTGCAAAAATTATATAAAAGTAGGGTCATCGGGTGGTGTGGTAGTTAAAGCACTGATCCCACACGGCTGACTCAGAGTCCCAGTCCCAGACCCAGCAACTTGAAAAACACCAAGTTTGTTTGTGTACATGCCCAAAATTCCAAGTGGAGAATGAGAAGGGATTGTGGTGTGGCCATGCCACCTGCAGGGGTGACTTCTTACTTTACCTGTCTCTCTCCCTTTCTCTGGTGAGTACACACACCCTATAACAAAAACATTGAGGGGGAAAAAAGGGCATAATATGTACAGAAAAGAGGGAGGCAGCAATTCCAGAGAAGGAAGCGTAGTATGTAATGGTTAAGACCGTGGGCCCTGGAATAAGGTGCCTGGTTCACAACTCGTTCTCTCGCTTATTAGGAGCAAATTTGAATTGCTCAGAATGTTTGCAAAGAATAGTAATCATAGGTCACTACATCAGAATCAGGTGTGATTTAAAGCTTTTCTCCTCGAGGAGCTAGTGACGTGAGGCCCACTGAAGTTGAAATGAGTACCTTAAGTCTGTTCCTAACACTTGTATTTCATAGCCAAGGTCAAGTTAGCCACCTCCTATCCAAACTCAGCTGAAAAGTCTAGTGGGTTGTAAAAACCAAATCTAATGGCAGTGGCACCATCAAGAAGCTGCTTGTTCCCTGGAAAGACACAAGCTGCAGTCCTGAGTCTGGTAGGAGAGGCCTGTGGAGCACTGTGCTCGTCTGCCTCTCCCACAGTGACGGTGTGACCCTGGACTCCTGTCCCCGGTGCTGTGCTGTGGGCTTTGTACACTGGCCCTGCTACTCACCTCTGGAGAATAGGCTTTACCAGACCCGGTCTCATTCAGAGTCTTCTGAACCCATGTTTTCAGTGGGTTTAATGATCAGTCAAACTTAGTCTTCCCTTTTCTTAAGTCTCTTACGGACCAAGAACTCAGACTTCATTAATCTCAATGCACCATGCTGATATATAGAAGAAACATGTGAGTTTCCCATGCCGTGCAGGTTTATTAAGACTTAGACATCTTGACATAAAAGTTGTCACATTTTTTGCTCATTTACTTTGTAAAAATACTCGTGGACCATTTTATTTGGCCTTATGGCCATGTATGTATAACTTGTTTGGCCATTACACTACTAGCCTGTTATTTATGGGGATAGTTTTAAGTTTTAATAGAGTTTGTTTTTCTTTGGCTCTCCGAGGACTTAGTTGGATTTTCCCTTTAATCTTGTAGCACCCACAGATCCAGAAGAAATCTCAGTATATCAAATACCTTTGTTGTGATGATGTCAGGACCCTGCATCAGTGGGTCAATGGGATCCGCATCGCGAAGGTAGGTTTCCTTTCACTTTGATGACAGAATAATGAGGTATTTAATGATACTGTTTTGATGGTCATGATGATGATTCTAATTGTTTCACAGTCAGAATTTTTCTTGTGTCTAGTTTTCTCACCCTAAGAAGCTTCATGTTTTAAATGTTGTCTTTTTTCCTTGGGGACAAGGATAAACTTTTAACAGATGGTGTCTATGAATAATACTGTTGGTGAAAACTTGTGTAGCAGTAAAGTGATTTATTTTGGCTTTGGAGAACACATTACATGATTCTCACATAGCAGAGTTGAACCTAAGCAAAATAAATTTTTAAAAAACTAAATTACTTTGGGCCAAGCCCATAGCGTAGCCATTAAGTACTGAGGAGCCAGACCCTACGTGGCTGTTCGTAATTCAAATCCTGGCCCTGGAGGTCTGAAAAACATACCCTGTGTATGTGTGTGCATGCCTAAAATCTTGATGGGATGGAGAACTGGAGGAGAAAGGATTATGACGTGACCACACCTCATTGAGGGGTGCTTTCTTCTCTGTCGAGGGCACATGCCCTCTGGCAATTAAAAAAATGTCAGTACAGACACTGTGGAGAACGATATAGAGTTTCCTCAAAGACCTATCATATGATCCAGCAGTTCCACTCCTGGGTATCTACCCAAAGGATAGGAAAATGCTCGGAACAGTGCTTGCACACCAATGTTTATGACAGTATTATTCACAGTTGCTAAGACATGGAACTAGCCCAAATGTCCCTGAACAGATGAGTGGATTGGAAAAGTGTGGCACATATACACTACAGAATACTCCTCAGCCATAAAAAATTACAGGACCCTGAAATTTGATAGAAAGTGAATTAATGTGGAAGATTTACTGCTGTGTGAAGCAAGCCAGACTATGAAAAAGAGACATTGTATGTCCCTACTTAATATTTACTGACTGTCCACACTCTGTGGCCGAAACAGAAAGAATGGAAGATACAGAAGCATGGAGAACAGTTGCAGATAAGGGAGACAGTGTGGGAGGAGGGTGAGAAGTGGGGAAGGGTGAGAGGAAGGGAATCAAGGAGAAGAATAGAGAGGCAAGACATTTAAGGGACACAGAAATGGAGGATTGTCTATTGATCTGTGGAGAACGATATAGAGTTTCCTCAAAGACCTATCATATGATCCAGCAGTTCCACTCCTGGGTATCTACCCAAAGGATAGGAAAATGCTCGGAACAGTGCTTGCACACCAATGTTTATGACAGTATTATTCACAGTTGCTAAGACATGGAACTAGCCCAAATGTCCCTGAACAGATGAGTGGATTGGAAAAGTGTGGCACATATACACTACAGAATACTCCTCAGCCATAAAAAATTACAGGACCCTGAAATTTGATAGAAAGTGAATTAATGTGGAAGATTTACTGCTGTGTGAAGCAAGCCAGACTATGAAAAAGAGACATTGTATGTCCCTACTTAATATTTACTGACTGTCCACACTCTGTGGCCGAAACAGAAAGAATGGAAGATACAGAAGCATGGAGAACAGTTGCAGATAAGGGAGACAGTGTGGGAGGAGGGTGAGAAGTGGGGAAGGGTGAGAGGAAGGGAATCAAGGAGAAGAATAGAGAGGCAAGACATTTAAGGGACACAGAAATGGAGGATTGTCTATTGATGATAACATGTATGATAGTGTCTTTAACTGGACTAGTACGCAGTGTATTGATACTGGGAAAATTCATTTTACAAACTGTGGTGATGTACAGTGATTGAATGTATAAAGTAATTTTTTTTAAAGTCAATAAAATTGTAAATGAATTTTTCAAAATTTTAAGAAAGCTTCTAATTACTTTATTTAAGTAGTGATCACATACCAGATACTGAATAATGTTGAAGACCCTTGGTCAAGAATTTGGGGTGAATAAAAGTATATTCATGTTTTTAATGAACATAATTAGGATCAAGTGTTGACTTCTTGCTACCCTTCTAAAAATGAGGAAAAATAAGGGTAGATTATAATTAGCTGGTGTGACAAGAAAGTTTGAAGGCTGTAGGTACTGATTTTAGTATGAACTATGAATCAATGAGCAAAGATGTGTCCCCTTTCCCATCTCGTCTTCGGTGTCATACTTAGTGAAGTTCGTATGTCATCACTCTCTGCCTAGTATGGGAAGCAGCTGTACATGAACTATCAAGAAGCCTTGAAGAGGACAGAGTCTGCCTATGACTGGACTTCCCTATCCAGCTCCAGCATCAAATCAGGATCCAGTTCTTCCAGCATCCCAGGTAGTTCAGAATGCCTCAGAGCACTGTGTTGCTGCCACAGAGACAGAGTAGATCGCTTCATTTCAGCTTGATTGTTAAAAACCAGAGCCACAGGACCAGCTGATGGCATAGTGATTACGTCACTGGACTCTCACATGGCCGACTGTGGTTCGAGTTCCAGACCCGGCAGGTTGAAACTCAGGCCAGGCGCGTGTGTGTGCATGCCCGAGATCCTAGGAGGAGAATGGAGGAGAAGGAATTGCAGTGTGGCCATGCCCCTGGGGGAGTGATTTCTTGCTTTCTGTCTCTCTGGCAAGTGCATGCACCATATAGCAAAAATCTCTCTTGAAAACAAACAAAAAACAGAGCCACACTAATTTCTTAATTATAGTCAGTAACTCCTTTTTTTTTTTTTTTTCCCAGTTGTTACAGGAGACAAAATCATGGGCTAGTTGACATGTATATGAAATGGAAATCAGTGTTAGATTCCTAAAGCCAGGAGCTTTGTTATAAAATTTATTCAGAACTCTGCTAAAAAACAACTATTGATGCATAATTTGGGATTCAAAAGTTGCTTGAATATAGTATTTGTACAGAATCCGTGGTGAAACTGCTTTTCTTTCCACGGGTTTCCTGACACTTCAGTGGCATAGAAACAACCAGTGCTAGTTCAGTGTCAGTGTTAAGAGAGTTAAGTCACCAAACTTTCTAACAGGAAATCAGTGATACTCAAAAAAGTTTCCAGATTCTCACATTTTCTAAACAAATGTGCTGTGGTCACATCTTAGGGCAAAAGCTTCTTCCCTTCAAAATGTCCCATGAGTAATGGCCAAGTCATCTAAAAGCAAAGTATTTATTCTGGCATCACATGTGGTGAAAGAAATTTTTACTTTAGTAACTGATTAAAAAAACTCTGATTTATCTTCAAATATATAAGTAAAAACACATTTAGAATGTGCATATATACAAGTTAGCATATACATTCATCTGCCTGATGGTTCTGCCCACCGAGAGGATCTAGAAACAGTGACAGCACAGTAAGGGAGACCCTGTGTCAGATCTTGGTTCCTGACACCATTCTCCAAGGAAAAGAACCAGGGCTCTTGTGGAATGGCTCATTCTAGGTCTACAACCAAGTACAGACAAGATGAGTCTGGAACATCGTAGAGGCAAAATGAAGAATACGCAGAAAACTGTGATGGGAGTATGTCAGAGGGGCCCAGGAGCCAACCCAGGAGAGCGCCTGTGGCTAGAGCTGGAACTATTTGAGCAGTAACCTAAACAATGTAGTGTAGGACTATAACCTGAATTACTAAATATCAGTGAACTCATGCTGATTTAAATCAGTTATCAAATAAATAGGGAAGAAGAGACAAATCTCCTGCACAGATTTCGCAATGACTTACATAGATATGTTGCCCTCAAGAGGGTGGAACTTAACTCGCCACTCCTCAGAGCAGGCTGTGCATGGTGAATTGCTTCCATTGTAAGGAGGGGCAGAAAATGGGAGTAACTTACCTGACAGAACAGTGTGTCAGGGCAGTCGGCTCAGCAGTGATAGGACCTATTGATTGTAGGTACTTTTGATGTAATGTGATGAGAATGGCCTTTCTGCCTGGTCGTCTTCTGCAAATCCCATAACCTCAGTCTAAGCAAAAGAAAATTGTCAGTTAAAAATGGATAGAGATATGGATGGATGGATGGAGAGATAAAAAGCATCAAACAAACTAAAATTGAGACACTCTACAAAATACCTGACTAGTATTCCTCAAACTGTCAAAGTCGTCCAAAACTGGGAAGTCTGGGAAACTATCATAGGAGACACGGTGACCAACTGCCATGTTGTATCCTGGATCAGAAACAGACATTAGGGGGAAACTAGCAAAATCCAAATAAACGGTGGACTCCATAGTAATGGCTGTAGCAGATAAATCATGGAGTGTGTGACGCGTTGATGATGGGGGACACTGGATGCCATGTGCGTAGGAATTCTATGCTAAACTGTTCTGAAGTTCAGATACCTAATAAATATCTGAACTATTCTAAAATAAACTCTCATTAAAATTATAAATAAAAAGTTTGAGAAGATGGATTAGGAAAGTAGTAGTATATAGGAAGTAGAATTTTAGAATAGGAAATTAAGGGACAGAAGATTGAGAAAATATGCATGGTTTTTAAAAATTTTATATGGCACTTATGTAACAATTCAAGTGCTTCCACAGTTTTTATGAAGGAGCACAAAGCACCATTCCTGCTCCAGCATCATTATATACTTTGTGTAAACTATTAGGCAGACCTTTCCACGTGAGTCATAAAATCATCTAGTAATGCCGATGAGGCCTCAGGGATCCATGTGGGCTGTTGTCCCGGCTATTAGATAGGGATGATAAAGACTAGTGAAGTTGTAACTTCTTAAAAACTGCTCAGGACCAGCAGTTGGCGTAATGACTGTGTTGCTGGACTCCCATGTGGTCTACTGCGGTTCGAGTCCTGGACTCAGTGACTTAAATGCATGCCAGGTGCATGTACGTGCGTGCCTAAGATCCTGAGAGGATAATGGAGGAGAAGGGATTGCAGCGTGACCATTTCCCCTCGGGGGGTGATTTCTCGCTTTCTGTCTCTCTGTCTCTGTCTGTCTTTCTGGTGAGTGCACACGCCCTATAGCAAAAACCTAAAAAAAAAAAACACACACACACAAAAAAAAACAAAAATAAGAAACAAAACAAACAAACAAAAAAACCTTGCTCTTTAATTTTCACCTGGTTAACTTCTCCTTATCCACCTGAGATCATGTTCTCAGGTGTCAAAGCAGGTTCCCTACATAGAGGATACAGTAGAACCTTCCCCTCATCATACATATCAGTCATAATGACATGCTTATTTTTGTCGTTATGTGTTTTTGATGGCAAAAAAAAAAAAAAAAAAAAAAACTCCTTGGGTATTGATTGATTAAAAAAATATATTGGTATATTTTTACCCTAAGGATTGTCTTTGTCCAAGGAGTTTTGGCTTAAGATTTCTTTGAGGCTATTTTTCTTTGACTACATTGTCTAACTTGGCTGGACCCACTTCAGTATTAATAGTACCCATTACAGAGAGGATGGAGGGGGTCACCTTTAACACTGAATTCCCAATGGATGCCAGACGTTGAGTTAGATGCATCCACGTGGTTATCTTATCTGACCTGGAGTCCAGTGAACAATCACACCAGTTCTCTCAACCAGGATGCCAGTCAGAGACACATGTGTCCTTACAGCCATTCCCACTGGGCGCCAGTCCCATGAGCCCTCTCGGTGCTTCGCTGGGAGGCCAGGCTCCTGTGACGCAGCTCCTCCCCTCAGGGACCAATACCTACGTCCCTGGGAGGCTGCTCATGCCCGGCACATTCTAGGTATCCTTCATTGCTAGGACTGGGGACATAATCACTGTATACACATGTAAGTTCATCAGTTATAACTCCGGGATGGCCTGGAACAGAGAGATTAAAAAGACTTACTCTCTGTAATGAAAGCAGTATTGAGAAAAATGCAGTCCTCTGTTGATGGCTCATTAATTCTTTTATTTGTTGGGAACTGATTTCATGCAAGACAGGTTGTCAGGATGTGAATAGTGTTATATGAAGCTTTTATTGTAAATATCAGTTTCTCCTGGTGAAAAGAGAAAAAAGAGTTCCCATCAACCTTAGAATAAGGGATGTTTTTATAGTGGAAAATACTGGCAGTTTATGATGAAATGAGTTGAGTAAACTGTCCTTGTTGCTATCACATTTGACCTTGTGTAAAAGATTTTTCTAAATGTACATATTCATAGTATCAGGATACTGACTTATTTCATTCTTTTTTTTTTTTTTAAACTATTTTAAACAGAGTCTCAGTCAAATCACTCCACTCAGTCTGACAGTGGAGTTTCTGACACCCAGCCGGCAGGACACGTCCGTTCCCAGAGCATCGTCAGCTCCATCTTCTCCGAGGCCTGGAAACGGGGCACACAGCTGGAAGAGTCCAGCAAGGTAGCACACTGGTTTTAATTTACGGAGAAAAGCTCGTGATTTCTTGGACAACACTTTTCTTCTTATATTAGGGCTCTATTTTGGTCTTCATTCTTGGCTCTTGAGTCTTCCTAGACCCATTGGGTAAAGCCATTTCAGGGAGATCTGTTGATTTGACTTCCCTTTAGAAATGAGTATTTGCAGGGCCAGCCCGTGGTCTGGTGATAAGCTACATGGCCCACTGCATGGTTTGAGTTCAAGACCTGGAGGCTTGAAAAATACACCAGATGTGTGTGTTATGTGCTCAGAATCCTGACCGAATAGAGAAATGGAGAAGGGATTTCTGGGTACTTTCTCCCTCACCCTTTCTCTGTCTCTGCCTGGTATGCGCATGCGCTCCAGCAAAATTTAAAGAAAGAAAGGAGTATTTGCAAATTGGTTTTTAATAACCTAAGATTGCAAAACAATAACAAATGGCAGTGTTCAATTCCTCAGTGGCTCAAAATTTTAAGAAATAACCATTTCCTCCTTCCCGCCCATAGTCAGTTTTGATGGAACAACGTCATCTAATACCAATGACCTGAATATGATCCAAAGAAGCTGCTTCTAGTTATTTCCTTATTTGCTTTCAATTTAATTAATGCAGACTTGTTTCTTATCTTTTCTTCTATGCTTCTTAGCAGTTCTCAGGTCGTTGAGTTTTTCCAATTTACACTTTATGTGGAAGTCAAAATTCAAGTATCCCCTTAAACTTTAGATTTGCTGTGCAGAATACTGTTCAGAGACACTGAAGGATCAGTTCAATTACTGCAAGTAATATTAAGAAAAGCAGAGGGGTTCTGTAGCTCATCTGGAAGGCATCGAGTCCCCCATCACAGCCTCCATGCTTCCCCAGGCAAGGGTGCCTGGCTGTGCTCCCCCTCTCAACACTCCAGAGCGCACTCCACCACTGAGGAACCAGGCACCGTGGCCCGACTGCTCTGTCTTCACCCAATAATCAGTTTTGCCTTTTTTTTGGTCTGAGTTATTTGTATAAGTACATTCACAAATGAGAATTAAGTGGACATTTTTCCTCTTTCTAGTCCTTAATTTACACATGTGGCTCTTGGAAGGGTGGAAGAAGGAGGCATTAGTAGCCCAATGTGGGGAGTAAGCAGTTCCCCTCAAAATGCATATTTGGGAATTGGTTCTAATGACCTAAACTCTCAGTTTGTTTTACTCCCTGATCAGCCTTTCAAGAAGTGCCCTCTCCTTTCCCCTCTTAATGAATTTGAATGGCATTAAGTCACAGCTCCTGCTTAGGTGTGTCATAGAGAAGCCGGTTCACGTAATTCAGATGTCTCAAGAGAAATCCCTTGCCTGACTAAATTGTTAATGGGGAGATCCATGTGCGTTTGCAATTACAGAACTGCCTAGCTATTAACGTGTACGGTCAAGGAAGACAAGGCCAAATGCTCTGTGCCGTCACACGGAGGGCTTCAGGAGCGTGAGCTCCGCAGGCCCAAGTGATGACTTCAAGTCTTGATCCCTCTTGTGTTTCTTCTCCTGTTACTTCAGTCTCAGGTGCCAAATGAGAAGGCCTGACGCAGCCAAGACAGGGGCGAGTTAAGGTCAGGGACTGTTCTCTGGAAACACATTAACCTGGGTGATTCCTATAACCACGTCTTACAGACTAATGCTTTTACCTGGATGTGTAATTCTTAAAGAAACATGTGAGTGTCCTAATGGGCATGAGAAGTCAGCCCCCTAATGAGCCTTCTAGTTAACTAACCAAAGCATTCTCCATGCGGATTAGACATCCATGTTTGAAAACAAATGACTTATCTCAGCCCTTTGCAGTTTGTTCAGAGAGCCTAAAAGACATCCCTACTTACTAAGTCACAGGCTCTTCCTTTCCTCTGTCCTCAAGTACTTGGACCTGCATCATGCATGACACCAGCTGTGACGGGTCAGCAGTACCGAGGGCCGCCCAGATGGTGGTCAGCAGATTGTTAGCAAGCCCTGCTCATTTCTTGATAGCTTCCTGTCACCTCCCTTAGCTGCTGCTTATCTTCTGGTGTTTTCTGTATACTGCCATGATCTTTGGCTGTAAGGTTCACCAAGCATTTGTTATGTATTTTCCAGTAAAACCCATGTACACAGTGCCCCCCACCCGCACTGCTGGGCATCTGTGCATGTTGGATGCAAGCGTCTCACGAAACACGAGTGTGTGTGTAGCTCATTCTTTCCCGCGTGACTGCACGCCTGCCGAGTGTGTGGACCCACCAGCACCAAAGCAGTCCTCACTCGGGGGCCCTCCACCAGCCCTAGGGCATCTGCTTGGTGTGGATGCTGTCAGCGACTGAGGCAAACTCGGCCACTGCGGCAGGTCCAGTGCTCAGGTGACCCCCAAGTAGGGCAAGGTGTCAGCGCACAGGTCAGTGAGCAGACACCCCTCCCC